GGGGGGGGGGGGGGAGTGTGTCACGGTTTATTGACAGAAGGAATAGGGCCAATGGCTAAAGGGGTTAAAGAACCAGACAAGATGGAGGCAAGGCTATTATTGGCAAATTACTGTAAGATAGCGAGGAGGAAATAAAGAAAGGGAGTGTGGTCAGAAAGAAGGTGGAAAAGGGAGGAGGTGGATGTTGGCATTCAGGGTTGTTGGGCAGAGAGGGATAGGAGTGGATAGGGGTGTTTGCCTGGGGGGCTATGGCCGAACAATTAGGAAGAGGAGGAGGAGGAGGAGGAGGAGGAGGAAGATAGGGGCTGAGGCTGCAGGTCTACAGGCTAGACAAGACTATCTTCCCTCAGGGGGACACAGCCGCTTTTTGTTTAGAGAGGAAGACACACGAACAATCCACCAGAGAAAATAGGCCAGACAGACAGATGGATGGGGAGATCGAGGGATCGAGAGATAGCGGAAGGGAGGGAGGGATGGAGAATGGGAGGGACGTCGATAGAGAGAAACAAAGAATGAGAGACACCCAGAGGGATCCTGGGAAGTCCAGGAGGATTTCAGCAGAAAGGGACGAGGGATGAGCACCTGATGAAAAGATAAAGAGAGAAAGAAAAGGTGAGAAGACGATTCAGAGGAGGAAAAAAGAAAAGCAGCTCAGAATGAGGGATTAGCGTTAGTATAAGACGGTGGCCGGCTGTCTGACAGTGAAAGAGAAAGGACATGTGGTTAAAAAGAGAGAAAAAGAAGGCATGAAGATGATTCCTGTGCAAATGCTGTATTCACATATATTTGATAACTCCTTCCTGCTTCAACTTGAAAAATGATCAAATGTTCACCTTGACTCACCTGGTCAATTAACTTTGCAGACAGAAGCAGATTGGCTTCATATTTCCTCCATGTCTGTGATGGATGTGTGTGTGTGTGTGTGTGTGTGTGTGTGTGTTTTGCTTTCCCTCCCCTGTTAAAGATTAATGACATTAAAGTCACTCCAGTTAAATAAATCAAACTGACGGGAGGTGTAGAGGCGAGGTGGAACAGCACTAAATCAGCCGCCATTCGTACTTGTCACGAAGAGATAAGAGTGAATTCTTGCCAAGCTGAGCTGTAAATAACTGAGACGTCGTGTTCAAAGTCTGAAAAAGAAAAATGTTGTTCTGGCTGCGTCTTCCAAAGTTTAACTTTGTTTTCATGTGAAGCTGAATGCACAGTGAGGTGCTGAGAAGAAAGAGACGCTGACTTACTTTCAAGCAGAAGGCAGGGATTCAGAGTTTTCCCCGACAGGCTTTACCAAAGTTTATATTAAGTTTACGCAGTACTTTTTCAATATTGAACAGATTATATTAACTTTACGTGCTCCTCTTTTCTACCAGGCTTTAAAACACTTTGTCATACACAGTACATTCACATTTCTCTTTCCCTTGCCAGCAAGTGTACAGGTTGAGAACAGCCATGCTGGCTGCGTGCATGGCTGTGTCAGTCGGTCGGTTGGTCCACCTTGTTTACATTCATTATACCTGCTGAACATCAGCATTATCACCGTGAGCAGGTTAGCATGCTGACATTTAGCTCAAAGCACCTCTGTGCCCAAGTAAATACAGTATATCATTATATTATATTAAGGTGTCGGGACAATATTCTATTATGTCATGTGCTTGTGCTTCATGCTTAGTCTTATCTATAGATTTTGGGGTTTTATAAACATTTGACTTTATTACTGAACGAGATTCAAGGAGGTTGTACCGGCATCCGGTTCAAAAGTATTTTAGCAGACTTCATTAATAACAGTCGGAGTATCAAAGCAGCAAACCCCTGTTTCCAGTCATTTTGAAACACCCGGTTTGTTAAAGTTTATAGCCTGTTATGTTTTTATTCTACATTGCTCTGTTTAGATATAAAGGAGAAAACAAAATGCAGTGATTCAATTTTCAAAAGTGATTTTATCAGGGGGGGTTTCAGACCCTAATCTGATCACTTGCTACACATGCTCCCACCAGGTTTAAAGGGAGTCTGTATTTCATCTGTACAGTAATGGCATTCACCAGGCTGACTGGCTATAAAACCTAGTCCTTACGGTTTTGATGTACATCTTTCGATGCCCTTCTTTTGACTCTGGCTCATCCTTTCCTTAAAAAAACATTGAGGTGCTTTGGATGAAAGCGTTCACCAAAGAGCACATATATCATCCAGAGTAACAAAGCAAAACTGCCATAAAAAAAACAACCTTTAAGACAAGTAGAAGGAGAAAAAAGAAAATGGAGAGATGATAAGGGTTTTGATTCATGAAAAGCGATGAAGGAGGGATGATACAGTATAAGTAAAATATGGAGCAAGGAACAGAAGTAAAGAGAGAGATAACTGCACAAATGAGAGCTCTGCATGTCGTTTAAAAGCAGGAGAAGCGCTAAAGAAAATGTAATAATGAAGGAGTGATATATTAAATAAGGGATGGAGGGAGTGAGCAATGTGTACGCTGCAGGCTGAAGACTACCCATTTATATTCCTCTCTGCTCTGCCCCAAGGGGCCTGCTGATTGTATGTGTGTCCATACGTACAGTATCAGCGTGTGTTCGACTATGTGCTTTGGTCCCTGCAGTTTGGTGTGTGTGTGTGTGTGTGTGTGTGTGTGCATGCATGTGTCCATAGGTGCTGGTTTTTCTCTCTGTTTGATGCGTATGTGCTTCCGAATCTTTGGCTGTGTGTGGCAAGTGTGTGTGTGTGTGGTGTGTGTGTGTGTGATGAGATGAGATTAGACTTCCTGCAGGGCTGTAGTTCCATGGAGGCCATCTGAAGCAACTAGGAACGTCAGGAATGTGGGAACAGTGATATGCTTCGCTTTCTCTGTCACCGCAATAACATCTTTGCCTCATCGTAGGAGAGGAAAGGAGGAGAGGAAAGGAGGAGAGGAAAGGAGAGGAGAGGAGAGGAGGAGAGGAGAGGAAACAAGGAGTTGAGAATAAAGGCAGAGACATGTCGAGCACATCCACACCTTGTTTTGAACATCCTTTTTCAACCTCTGTTGCTGCAAAGGTTGCCAAACTCTTTGTATCTCAACATCAACCTGAGTACTTTCCGGTTAAAACCTTTTTATAGAGTTTCTAAGACTTTTAAAGTTATTTGTCCCACGTTACCCTGAGAGCCGAGTTAAGTCATGTATTTATAGAATATCGCAGCATGCCACACAGAAAACAAAGAGCTCTGTTCTTCCACCAAGATGAAGAAAACATTCCCAACTCTTATCTGAGACAAAAGCACAAAGTAAAAAAAAACTGGGATTTATTGTGATGTAAATAAACAGTGAAAGGCAAGGCCTTGACTGTGCTGTGACAGCAGACGACTGAATTATACGACGATGAGCAACACTAGAAATATTAGGACAAAAATGTTGATAACCAGCAGTGTCTGACATGTCACACTGAGTTGTGCTGCGATTATAGGGCGTCTATTTGACCACTCAGTGTGTATTGTGAGGATGACTGGATTCATGGACTAGTCTTTATGTCAATTTAACTTGAAGGAAAGGAGTTTGGCCAAAAGTCAGGAATACCGCACTCACACCCCATGGAGTTTTGTAAACAAATACAGTTCTTTATGTATGTTCGTTTGCAAGTTTTTTAGTTGCAGAGAAGACATTTACTGGTCTCCTGACTTTCGCCATCTGTTTCTTGTGTGTATTCCTGTCAATCTGTTCGTTCATATTTTCATCTATTTCTGACATACTTCATTTCCTCTGTAATTTTGGAAAATGAAAGTGATTAGCTCAACGAGAGAAACTACAGGATACAGATTTTATGGAACAGCAATTTGTTAAACATAATATCTTCGTCCAGAGTGTTGCTATTATGCCAAGGTATGGAACTATAACGAGTGTAATTTATCAAAGCTGCATGCAAAGATTCATCATCTCTTTAAATTGGTCAAGATCAGACATTTAGTGTATGATACATCTCATTATGTATAAATATAAATATTGCCATTGAGCCAATCGGTGTATTTTCTCAAATGTCAGGACACACTTTAAAAATCCATAATGCAAGAGGCGTCTGAAGACCGACAGATGGAGAAAGCGAAAATCCTCTCTCCACCTGATAACGCTGTGTGAGGCACCGCAGTCAGAGTGAGAAAAAATGGACCAAATGTCATTCGCTGTGTTTGAAATGGAGAGTGAAGGCTGAGGTGTGGTGTTAGTGTGTGTGACAGCAGGTGATGTTCTCCTGTGGCGCTCTGCTCTCCCATTGTGGCTGGTAATTAATGGCTACAGGTTCATTACAAGCAGCTATAGTCAGCTGTGCTGCCAGCATGCCCGACAATATTAGTCACACAGTCAGACTGATAGATGCACAAACACACATGCAGGTACAACACTAACACAACTTTTCCAATAGTTCAGACACTGTTATAGTTTTCACTCCGGCTCAAATAATGTTTTACCTTTTTGTTTCCCTCCCCTCCTTTTCCTGATTACTCCCTCTTTTTCTTGTTCCCTCAATCCAGAAGACATCTTTATCCTCCAGGCGAAAGACAAGAAGAACCCTCTCATCTACGGCCTGTTTACCACCTCTAGGTATGTGCAGAAAACAAGGGAATACACTTTAGTAACTTTAAATGGCAATTTGAAATCTGTGCACAAGAGTTTAAGAGTTAAAAGCAGCAGTATGACGGTGGGAGGGAGGCACTGGGTGTGTCTTTAGTTTCCACTGGGTGGAGAGTTTTCATTCCTTTAGAGATCGCTCATTGTGTAAAGAAATGGGTTGAGCAACTTGTATTGATTAACAACCCCTGCATGTATCAGCTTTTTAGTGCAACAGTGCAGTACAGCAAGCACCTTCTTCCTTTGCATGTAAAAGAAACAACTCTAGATTATAGAGAAGAGAAGGTGTTTCATCTCCTACATAAGGCCTCATAGGTGTCATATGTGACAACATTTATACTACATTCACAAACACTGATTGTTGATCGAGGGGGTTGAAAATCGAACTACTTGGTTAAAGCTGCATGAGGCAACTTTGCACTTTTGTGCCCCCAAGTAGCAGCATTGGGTACTGTAACTGTTTAAATATTGTTGTTATGTTATTGCCGTGTTACATCTCCTTCAAACAACTGTATTTATTCAAGTTTCTCGCTAAAAATATATATATTACAAGATTACATTTGAATATATCATGATAATGTTGTAATTTACTCGATCCACCATTTCAGACTATATCGGAGGCGTTTCCGATACTGTTATTAGAATAACTGGAATAACTCTACTAAAACATTTTCAAAGAATAAAAGTAACGTTTTACAGGAAATAGAGAGGCAGTGGTTTTTATTTTCATATAAAACAGATGTATGTTATCATATGGAGAATTATTGCACCCAACAAAGCTGGAAGTTCTTCGAATTTAATCTTTTTCGATGAGACCACAAGAAACTTTGAAATTTAGCAGAAAAAAAACATGAAGACAAATTGCTTACAAAATGCATTGTCGAACGAGAACAACAGGCTGTGCAACTAGAAAGCATATTGAAAAACAAGTCAAAGCAATGAAAATATGGGGTTTGATTAGAGTCCATAGACAATATGCATTGTGAGCATCTACAAAATGGTTATTTGCTCGCATGTTGTTGTGAGACATACTGTCTGGGACAGAGCAATGACACAAACATAAAACTGCACCATAGAAGTCAGACAGACGGATGGATAGAAAAAAGTCTGATACTGAAAAAGAGAGGCTCTCACTAAGACTGACTCAGGGAAAGACAGATAACAGGTGGACGGATACAATACATACACTGTAGAGGTGACACCAATTAGTGAAATATTTTACTTTCCGATCTAAGGAGCCTGATTTGACTGACAATCTCACAGTCGAATCATCGCAGGGACGGGAAACTGTAGTAATGAAACAAAGGATCATTCATAAACAACATCACAGCCTTGTCAGAGCTATAGATTTATTTTAAATTCATGAACAATTCTCTAAAATCAGCTGAGGGAGGCAGGTAGAAACAGCTGTTTGCAGCTTGAGTCTCTTTCTCCTGCTGATTGTCCCTTTGCTTCCCTGTTGTTTCCCTTCTGTCTGTGGACTGATACGATGAGGGAAATGGATGAGGTACAACGGACTGCGTCTTACACACACATACACACACAGGACAAACCGTGCTGTCCATCATTATTGTGAAACAACAGCTAAGCAATAGTAACGTGTATCTCAGCCAATAACGGGGATCTAATAGCAAGGAAAAAACAATCAGTTGATTCTTTGTCGGGAGCACCAAAATAAGCACTGGCTGGAATAAAGTGGGGGGAAATATAAAGCGAGGAAAAGCCAGAACAAATGACGAGGGAGCGGCAAACTGCAGTTTCTCATTTCCTCCAAACTTACCGACGGCACCACACGCTCTTAAAATAACCCAGTTTCTGAGGCGGGCGGCAGAGCTCTACAGTAGCAGCAGCTGTATGACGACATTTGGCACGGCGGAGCAGGGAGTTGGTCTCGTTCTGGGTTTTGGAAAGTGTCTGGAATCTCAGTGGGGAATGGATAGAAATCCAAAGCATCACTCAGGGTGGGGTCCCAACCACAGAACTGCTGGGAGCAGAAAGGTCATTCCCTCCGAATGGAAACTTCTCCCTCTGGTTCACTCATGAGTCCACACACAAACGTTTTTTTGTCCCGTGTGATGAAGTCGAGAGTGTAGAATGTGGATCTGTCCGCCACTGTTTGCTTGTATGATTTTGTTTTTCATTTGATCATTTCGTAATTCGATTCACCATCTATCACATGCTAGAGATAAACAGAGAGATTTCTTTGGGTACGGTGCTGTTTTGGAGAAGCTGGTGTTTATTCACTCGTTCATTTGTTTTCATTCATTCACTCACTCATTAGTGTTCATTTATTAACTTATCTGCTTATTCATTCATACATCCGATATATGTTTGTTTGGGTATCTCATCTAAGATATCATACCCGGTCAAATAATTAAAAAATGTGAGGAATTGAAATTCAGATTTAACAGCTAAATTCTTTAACTATTTCTGTCCACACATTTGGATTCTCACACATCACTTCTGCCATCTCGGACACCAGTGATCATATTTCTTATTTCTTGAAAAATTGCAGCATTTCGCTGCCGGATTTCATTGTTTTCTGATTTGTTTTCTGGTTTCCTGTGTTAATTCACTCTACATACAAATTCACCAAGGCCACCGGGGGTTTTAAGCTTATGTTGGAAGAATTTGTCCTTTCTGAGGTGCCATTTAGCAATAAACTCCATCCCATCTACAGGTCCTCAGTGTGACCCTTTGACCTTAGTGGAGAAAAGAGAACTTCCCTCCAGAGAAAAACTAGACCAAACATGTGTATGTGTTATTTATCTGAGCTGAAGGAAACCACCCTGATGCATCACCACACTGCCTTTCTATTATTCTGTTTCTAGCCACTCTGCTCGTCGAACACAACTTGAATCTGTAACCCAGATACAGTTAGCCCAAACATGACCCTGATCTTAACTGCAGTGGATGGGATGTGTTGTGGTGGGGACTGATGTGCTGAAACCAGCGAATCAGCTTGACAAGCAAGCTGAAAAGCCACAATGACTCACAGCTCTTCATACTGTACATACATATAGCATATCACTTTCTTATTTAATCTACTGCTGTAAAACCATTGCAACTCATCAAAGCTCAGGTTATGTTTTGATTCATGGCCGCTGGAGGATGGAAAGATCATATGAGTGTGATGAATGAGACTCCCCTTTCTTTCTGGTCTCAGTGATATCCTGAACGGTTCAGCAGTGTGCGTTTACCGAATGGAAGATGTGGTTCGAGCTTTCAAGGGAAACTTCCTCCATAAGGAGGGACCTCAGTATAAGTGGGCAGAGTTCACAGGCAAGGTGCCCTATCCGCGACCAGGAACTGTGAGTTACTCAGGCAACTGTTTTAAAGTTCAATTACACCACATGTATTGAAAAAGAAATTCTCAGTTTCTTCCAGACATTCGGATCCTTTACTTTTCCTCTCTCTCTCTCTCGCTGTCTCTCTCTCTGTCTCTCTCTCTCTCTCAGTGTCCCAGCAGCACGTATGGAAGTTACAGCTCGACCAGAGAATATCCTGACGACGTCATCTTCTTCAGCAGGACTCACCCGCTGCTGCAGGTTCAGCTGATATTTCACTTTATTAAATTACATCAATCTAATTTAATTAGACTGTGGCCTATTTTAGAGTGGGGTCAATACTTTACCTCTATTTTTGTCCCAGTTCTTAAGTGAGATGAAGGAATTAAAGTAGCCGACAGTAGTGACAATAAAATAAATCACATTGTTCATAAACATGACACAACTGTCCCACTGTTTTAGGAAAATGTGCTGCCGCTGGGAGAGCGCCCCCTCCTGGTCAGAGTGGGTGTTCACTATAAATTCAGCAAACTGCTGGTGGACAGAGTGGAGGCTGTGGACAGCACCTACGATGTCCTGTTCATCGGCACAGGTAGAGTGTGTGCGCTGCACATTTTCACAAAGTTTTAGAGGGCTTAGGATTGTGTGCTTTGCATTCTAACACCAATGTGTGTTTTGGGTTGTTTTTTCTTGCAATAAACGTTCCGTTTTTTTTATTTCTGCAGACTCAGGCCTTGTGCTTAAGGCCATCCATCTGCCCAGAGAACACGGGCAGAGTCAGGAGGTCACTCTGGAGCAGCTGCAGGTCTTTCAGGTACAGAAAACTCTTTGTGTACAAAAACACATAACCTACATACCAATGATTTTGCATGTTTCACCATATTTATTATATTTTATTGACTACTGTGTACTGTAGGAGTTTCAATGGTCGGCATACTGTTCAGACAATATGGAAATGAATGGAAACCAATAGCTTAAAGAATCTGGAACACTACAGCATGCATTGCTGACATTGCAAATTGTCAGCAAAAATGTCAAGCATGCTATATTTAAAAAGATGCATCTGGCAAAAACAATGGCATGCTCCTTAAAATGTGAATACATAGAGGAAACAGCATGATCGAATCTCCTATTGTAGTGTAAGTTGTGTTTCCCAGCCATGCACCGAACACAAATACATACACTGTATACCATTCACTTTAAATGTAGCAAAGACTTTGATCCAAAACACTCAGACACATTTTGCATAAATTGTGCAGCTGCACATAATTATCATGTCAGACTGTAAAAGACCACAGTTCACAATGTTCACAGTTCAGCTCAATATTAATTCCACTGGAGGCTCAAGTTCAAGTAACAACTCCTGACAGATGTGGCTGAGATTTCTTTGTCTGAGCGAAGTTTGAGTTTGTTTTCTCTGCTTTCCATCATATATGTGTGTGCTTTGTAAAGCCCTATTAAAGTGATATGGATGATTACCAGACTATGAGATCAGTCCTCTAAATTATTTTACACGGTTTAGAATTATTGTGGTTTCCAGCCGCACCCAAAGAGTTTCAGACAAATTCCTTATTTTTTGCTTATCGATTAATTCAACATGTTCGTTGACCTTTTCTTTTATCTAGCTGTCTGCCTGTTTCTCTATCTAGTGCAACAATACCTTTTTGTTTGTTTGTCTCAAGTTAAACTTGATTCTCTTTTCTCTGTTTCTCGCAGCACAAATCACCCGTGACAGCCATGACACTCTCAAAGAAAAAGGTAACAAATGAGAGAGAGAAACAGAAACTCACTTTCAAACTTCCAAACTCCCAAACTCCCCTACACACACACACACACACACACTCACACGAACGTGCACAACATCACACTTATCACTCATCTCTCCACCTTGTATCTCCAAGGACAGCTTCATCACCAGTTGCTATGGTTACCCTACCTCAGTCGGTGCAGTAATGAAGGGAAGCCACACACACACACACACACACACACACACACACACACACACACACAGAAATACACTTTGCATTATTAAAGTAGTCCAGGTTTCATGAAATAAAAATCTGAAGCTGGTACACACACATCGAGATTACAAAAAGAAAGCATCACCTTGTATCTCTCTCTCTTATTCTCTCTCTCACACACACACACACACACACACACACACACACTCCCTGTAGTCACACAGTGAAATTGTTACAGTGTGAGTTGGATGTGTGAATACATATCTGGTTTAGTGGTTAACTTGTCAATGCCTCTCACTGTTTTTCGGGAGCAAATAGAATGCCCTCTTTCTCTTTTGGCTCTCCTTCATTTCACTTGATTCACTCTTCCTCTTCCCCTAACATTCTTCCCTCTGCCTCCTTCATCCCCCTGCTTTCTCTTGCATCTCTATTTCTATGTTTCATCCCGCTCCTCATTTCCTCCTCCTCCAGCAGTGGTTGTTTGTGGGCTCCAGGGAGGGTGTGTCCCAGCTGGCGCTATACCAGTGTGAGCTGTACGGTCAGGCTTGCGCTGAGTGCTGCCTAGCCAGAGACCCCTACTGCACCTGGGACGGACACGCCTGCAGCCCTTACATGCCCACCGTACGCAGGTAGGCATGACGAATTGGATCTGTTCATCCAAACAACACTAATCTGGCCATGTTGGATATCTTTTACGAGTACATATTTTTTCCTCTCTAAAGACTGAATAGCAAAGGAAAACACATGGAATCGATCTTCACAAATCAGATCTAAACCAGATTTGTTGATACTTTGAAACGTGGCTCAAATTGCATCTGAACTCAAATCGTTCTGATTCGATTTTCAGCATTTTTTCCATTAGACCAACACGTGGCTCCTTTGCAAATTAGGACAAATACTAAATTTGTAAATGTTTATGGTGACGCCCTTCCCTTTCCTATAGTACCACCATCATCACCATCAGCCAAAATGATCACTTTTCACACACAAAATCCAATAATGTGAAAGGCAGATTTGCCGAGCAAATGTATTCTCCCAAGTGGATTTGACTTTATTATTCATATGTCTGTATTGTCAGTGTATTGTTTGTCAAGTCAAACAATGAAGTTGGGCGAGTAGCAGGTTGTACTTCTCTGTTTCTCACTGTAATTTGATGTCTTCTTCCCCACAGAAGGAACGCTCGTCACTTAGGGGAGGATGAGGATCCACTTACTCAGTGTGTCAGACAAGGAGGTGAGGAGCTATTTATGTTCATTCAGCAATACTTACAGATACAGTCACAGTGGTGTAACCTTTGGCAGGCAATTACTGTAACATTTGAGCTTTACTGTAATAATGCCTCAGCTACAGTAAGATACTAGTAAGATTTAATATATGGCCCAACATAACAAATATATCATTGAATATGTGACGAGGGAGCTTTACAATCGGCACGTCATACCGCTCCCCTTCATCCTGAGAACATCTAGATAAACTCCACAAATGAGTAAAACACACTGAAAATAAACGCTGAATGTAAATGTATTTCGTAAACTAGGCAGAAATATAAATAATATAACAAAAGGAAAGCCATCAGAATTCAAATGGAACATGAAACAGATGTCTAAGCTGTCGTATCTCTCTCTCGATGTCATGCAGCCGGGCTGCAGGTGGAGGCGGAACAGAGGATGATGATGGTTGCCGAGGGCAACAGCACCTACCTGGAGTGTCTGCCCCGATCCAGACATGCTGCTGTTACCTGGTACAAACAGGCTGGAGAGAACAGTCCTGAACTCAACCAGGTACACACACACACACACACACACACACACACGTACTGGAGGATAAACTTGTCTAGTTTCCAATACCACCCATCTACTTTAACAATATATGTAGCATCACTTTCTTCAATCACAGCGTCTGCTAATAACTGCAAAGACAGAGCAGAGTACTTTGCAAGTGTATAACTTTTGTTTTATGACATTAGCCAGACTGCCAAATACACAAAAACACAAGTACTGAGCATTCATCTGCTCTCTCTCTCTTTCTTTCTCTCTCCAGGTGGTAACAGGTGACCAGCTAGTGGTGATCGAGCGGGGCGTCCTGATTCGTCAAGCCGAGCTGTCTCACGGCGGCGTCTACCACTGCCAGGTGGAGGAGCACGGCTACCACTGGACCGCCGTCACTGTCCGCCTCGCCGTCTGGAGCCCCTCAGCCAATCGCCTCCTTGCTTCCTGGTCCGCCTCCTCCTATCAGAGCGCCGGATCCCAGCCCTGGTACGAGGACGTGATGGCGCTGATTCACCCCGGGAACCTCGGCCAGCACTGTCGGGCCCTGGGATACCGCCCCCCACGCAACCAGCGTCGCCATGGTGATATCATGGTGGAGCCTAAGAAGGAGAAAGAGAGGGGGGAGAGGCACAAGCACGGGGGAGGAAGAGGAGGAGGGGGAGGAGGAGGAGGAGGAGCAAGAGCAGCGGGGAGGAAGAGCAGGAGCAAGCCGCAGCAGAGGGCACCGAGGAGCGCTTGAATGTGTCGTGGAACAGGAGGGCAAATTTTCAGTGACTTAAACACACACACACACACACACACGTACACATTTATGTTAATGTCCACATTAAGACACATACATGTACACGCACACACACTTAACTTATACACTGAGACACACACATACTGTATGTACAGAGACTATGACATGCGCATGCACTTATCTACAAACAAAAAAGGCATCCTTTCATTATAGTGACAAACCTTCAAACTAAGCTACACATAAACAAACTGAAGTATGTACAGGAGGATGTGAACAAAAAACGACAAAAGACTTGTGAATAAAAAGGAACACCGTAGTCTGCGTGGTATGTTGAACGAAGGATGAACGCCACGTCCAGATCACTCAGTTTAACTGACTCTGTGTCGTGGCAAGGACATGGGAAAGGATGCTTTGGATTCGAAGTTTCTACAGAGAGAGAGAAAAGTCCGAAAGTAGATATTCAGCTTTTGAAAAATCCTCCAACCCCTCTGAAATGAGTGCTGCCTTAAAGGACCATACTGGTGGCTTTGCATGTTTTTGCCTATTGATTCTAAAAACACTTACACACTGCCCATTATTCTCTAAAGCAGAACAGATGTGTTTAGATCGATTTTCGTACCTTCCAGGCAGACACTGGTTTCCATTAAATCCAGTACGCTTTGAAATCCATCTTACAGAAACATCTCAAATGCTTCAGGATTCAGAGTTATGTTATTGCAGTTGCAAGCCGCATTTTCCAAACTACTCATGCTTTCAAATTTTAAGGACACCTCATCATTCGCTTCTATAGAATTGACGGTCCACTGGTCAAAAGATTTTGATTGACAAGCAATGTCAGTGGAAAGTCAAAGCATGAAGACAAACAAGCAAAGCTTGAGCAGAGACTGTACTTAAAACAGCATAACAGCTAAACTAAGACGTAAAGTAGAAGGTAAAAGAGAATATTCTCTGTGTGTTTTTTTAGGAAATAATCATCAGTGATAGTTAAAGGGTTTTGAGAAGGTAATGTTTACTGTAGGTTGTGAATAGCAGTAAATAGCACTGATGAGTATTGTACATCCTTTTCCCCTAATGTATATAAAACCAACACTTCACCAACAGTGTGAGTTTTGCTGGTTTCTTTAGATTGCTGGTCTCTGACCGCAAAATGACTGACCGTGACCACAACGATGAAAGGAAGAGAAAAGCAGAGCGACAGCTTTGATGAGGTTACAGATCTACTTTCCCAGGATGCTGCAGCTGTACAGACACACTGCAGGAGATGTTTCCATTATGTTCTCCTCAAGGTTCAGACATGTTAGCTGGTAATGTACACAGACAAATCTGGAACTGCCAAGCAACAGAGAGCTTAGCATAGGTGTGGGGAAAAGTGAACAGAAATGAAGCCACAGGCGATCTGGTGTGTTTTATAAGGTCAGAAGAATTCCTTTTGTGAGTGTTGGTTTAGTTTGCCTGAAGTCCTACATGAATACAGTGTATAGATTTAGGTAATAATGTTTATTATTACGTAGGACAAAACTAACATCTGCACATCAACTCTAATAAACAAATTTAGTTTTTGCTTCATAGGTTTCTGGGAAAAGAAATGTTTAGCTGCTATTAGATGAGGTACAATCCAGTAACTACAAAACAAATTCTTCCTTCTGACATCAATATTGAATAGTTTTAAAGAGACTAAGCATCATAACCATGGACATCATTACATTACGACATTTTGGCAAAACACAGATATTTGAATTGGTAATATTTCAAATCATATTTCTAGCAAGTGGAGACTGAAATGTTAGAGGCTCTGTATCTATTGGACAAAGAATTTGTTTTTACTGTAACTTTGGTCATGTCTGTTAAATCAGCATACTGAAACGTGTGGAATGTCAAGACGCTTTTAAAAAGATGTTTCATGAGTGTTTGATAAGACATGGACAAGTATCGAAGTATGAACTGAACCAAGAGACTCTGTACAGATCATGCATGTTTTTCAACCTATGGTTCACCACCCTAAATGGGCCATTGGTGACATTGAGTAGGTTCCAGCTCACCTAAAGAAGTGGAGTAATATATTGCTGGTCCTGTAGCTCCAACTGGTCATGAAATCTGGCTGTAAATTATGAAGCAGGCCCGATGTATAATAAAGAAGCCTTTATTCCACAAAGTTGGAACTTGAGAAAGTGCTAAACAGGACCGGTGTCGAGTGGACTCTGGCGTGTGGGATTTTAGCAACTTCAGTGACTTTGCAAGGCAGTAAATTGTGATTTGTTCTTAATGTTAAATCAACACAACTTGTTCCCCCTCTATTTGACTGTCTTCTCAGTGGTATTTATTTGTTTAGTCTGGAGTAAAACTGCTTGTTTTAGAAGTTGGGAGGACAGATTATTTTGGGGAATACCTCAAGGTCCCAAATCAACCGACTCAACCTTGATGTCTCAAAAACTGGATGCTTATTTAACGCTTGTGTTGCTCTGTCTTTGTATATATGTACTGTATGTTTGTGTACCCTTACATTGAAGTCTGCACAGTACATATCTTTTTTTTATTTTTCAAGATTTTCAACTGTCAACATCTGCTTCTGTTGATGCACCTTCCCACTGCCACCTGTTGAAATTAGGATCAGTCGTGCCAGCCATCATGGTTATTTATTTTTGAGAATCTGGCCCATTCCACAATTGTTTCGGCTCAAAGGAGCGTTACCTGAAATTTGATGGCTTGTCCTTCTGTTTCTCTGACAGTTTAAGTTGTTTCCCAGAACAACAGATACAAAACAAATGCTGAAACAGAACAGTGCTGTAGTTTAGAGAGAGGATGGACAGGGGGGAGGAGAAAGCCAGATAGACTCACTAAAGTAAAACGTAGGTTCATTTTATATGGTTTACTGGACGATGCAGTTACATGCATGGATTAGTCCAATAATAATAGCCTCTCATATTTTCATATATTTAACTTCATCCCACAATGATGTTGCTGAGCATGCAATTCCAGCAATAGTAGAGTAATTATATCCTGCTGGGTCTTGTAGGATCCCAATCTCTTTGCATTGGTTGTATGTATTTCTGCATTTTTGGATGTGTGTGCTTGTACAGTATGCATCTGTGTGTGTGTGTGTGTGTGTGTGTGTGTGTGTGTGTTTGATATGAGTGGGATCACAGTGAGAGGAGTTCAATCTAAGAGTCAGAGGCCAAGCCAGTAAATCTATCAAACGGGTAACACAGCAATGGATGGTAGACTCTTTTGATGCTGTTAGAAAAATAAACCAGACCGACACAGAGCAGAGGGAGCCCACAGAACATTAACATGGGCTTGGCTACTTGGCTTTGGCCACATGAAAGAGCTAACCAGCGCTGAGCTGTTTGAGTAGAGAAAGAGAGAGTTTATATGGGAGTGTGTTGAATGTTGAAAGTGTACAAGTGTTCGGGACAACCACTCCTCAAACATTTTAAAGGGTGTGAGGGTGAATGTGACGCTGGCAGTATGATCCAAAGGAAATCAGGATTTGGTGTCTTCTCGAACTGAGTTAGTTTGTGAGCGTTCACAAACAACATTGTATGAGTCGTAGCCACTGACATACTGTCTGGGCTGTTGAATGCTGACACCATGATCATTGGTACATTTTTGTTGTCATGTCTTGTTCCTCAAAATTTCAAGTACACAGTTAAAACACAATTGAGTACGGAGGATTAACGTCCTGCTCAAAACTCCCTCCCTGCTAGCTTCTGCTGCACACTAGCATCTTTAACTCAATGAGTTTCTTCATATCAGCCTTTCTGAAAAAACATGACACTGGTGTTTTCTGTTCAAGATAAAAGGCTAGTGTATTTAAACATGAACACTGTGTTACTTTAACCAAGATAATGGCAGTTACTTTGTTCCCACTCAAAACAACATATCCTATCAAGTAGCCATTAGCACATAGACAAAGCCTCATGAAAGCAGTGTAGTAATAATAAAATAATACAATGTACCATCCAGTTCAGCTGTAAATACAAATCGAGCCTCAAGGAATAATTTAACAGCTCAGCACAAAGACTGATAACTGGAAATGCAGCTAGCTTGTCATACAGCTGCTTTAAAATGGACATAAAAAACCTCAGGCACATTTAACTTTTCAGAAAGAGGGATACAAGAAACCTTCTCGCCATTACTGCAGAGGCTAGCAAGGAAAGACAGAGGGATTACAGTTCTCTAGATGCGGCCATATGTATGACTGACCAGCTTTCAGGCACCATCCTGTTGGCAAATGAAAAAATGTGCAAACATGTTGACACATTCTGCAAGCCAGAATGATCCCCCTCAGGCAAACATAGCCAAATGTGACGCTTGTTTTCGGGCGTAAAAGCTAATTTTGCTTGCGAGAAGATGACAACTTTGATTTCATTTTGAGTATGCTGCCTGAGTAATAGTTTCTCATTTTTTTCTGGGCTCTCACACAAATATGCATCAAATTCAACAACCTAAAGAATATGAAAATAATAAAGCTTGTAGGGTCTTCGGCTTGTGGATGTCGTGTGTGTATACGAGTGTGCAATGTGTGTATATGTGTGTCCAACACCACACGATTAGGAGGCAGAACTCCTACAAGACATTTTCAATGACGGAGCATTGCGACCATTGTGTTTCCCTCAAAGACATTGGCGCAGAGCTGCTCCTCGTTCATTACAGCGGCCTCTTGTGTTTTACTCTTTATTACTGTAATTACATCTCAGTGTCAATATTCGTCCCCTGTGATTATCCTGAATGACTTCTTTGCAGACAGAATGAAATAGTCTTCAACTGATTTCCTCTTATGTGCCGGGACTTTGTTTTTCTCTTTTTGTAGATATGTATAAAGGTCTGCTTTCAATTGAGTATGTTTGTGTTTTGTGGTTTACTGTACCAATAAGAAATATATACAGATACTGAACAAGACAGAAACGTGTATATACAGTAGATATAACATACAGGTGAAGATATGCGCCCATTTTAAGGTAACGGGAACACACTGGTTCTTATTTTCAGGTGATTATATACAAAAGAAAACACACTTATTAATATGATGTTTCATTTCTGCCAATAGTTCTCCCTAAATGCTACAGACTGTTCCTTTAAATCTCGGTTGGATTATTTATGTATTGTCATCAAGGTTGAAAACCCATCAACAAACACAAGCCTGAAAATGACCCTATGATCCTATCCTCTGAAGTGTTACTCTTTGGAGTTTACTATCAGAATTAGTCTAAAAGCTACTCAGCCAAATTCACAAATATTCAATTACCTTTTTTATACATTTTGCTGTTCTGTTCTGTTGAGTCACGAGGCTTTATGCTTTTATGTAAAGTTTGTCAAGGTTGAACATTCAGCTAATTTAATCCCATATAATGTAAACCCTCTCATCCTGTATCCAGGCCCCAAGGTTGCCCTGTTTATAAAAAGGCAACATCAGCAAAATATACCAGCTGACACATTAAACGTTTATTTTTTTAAGCCGCATATGCACAAACAGGTCTGGAAACAAATCCTTGCACAGTTATTTTACAGGGATTCATTCCATTCCAGCGGCGTTATTCCTCAGGCACACGGTCCGTCACTTTGTTCACTCCAAAAGGGTAACATACCATACAACACCAAACCACCATGCATGCCTGCCAAAGTGACCACATATAGTACTTTCACATTTAATGTTCAACAACTGGTATATGTTCTGCTGAGCAATCTTCTGGGAGACAGATGCGTTCCAATTTCAGTTGTTGAACTGTTTCCAAAACTCTTGTGGTGGTATCGAGGGGGTCAGCAGTACATCATTGTTTTCTGCTGTTTGTTTATAATGCCATCCATGCACGCTACTTTTGAAACTCGACTGGCTCCGGTCAACTATGTGCAACTGCGGCTTTCCATTTAATTTACTGCTTCACTTTGTAAGCTCTTGAGTCATGGACAGGAATCTCCTTGAGGACATTATTGGACTCAGCTCCAGTTTGAGAAACAGGATATCACAGCAAAACAGAAAACCATGCATTAAAGAGAAATGAGTGTATTGCAGTGCTGTATTTTCTTATGAATGAGACATTCTTTCCTCACTGCATCTTACAAGCCTCTACTGTCTGACAAAGTATAGATGTGATACCATAATTACAGTATCTTGTACAGACTTTCATCTGTATAGCCAAAGGATAACAGCTAGCCTTGCAAACATCCCATTTCAATAAATACACTTTTTAACTAATTGGTGTCAATATACCCTTTGAGGCCATGATGAATAGGCTCGGAGAGGATTTTTAGAAAATGCTCTTTTTGTTTTGGTATGTGACAATGGAAACTTGTTCTCATTGCTGATTAGTTGCCATTAATCTTTTTACATGTTTATCACAGACACTTTAACAGGAAGATTTAGATGTTTGTGTTTGTACTGAGAGGTCATTTTGGTTTCTCTTCACTGACCCGGCCGCATACATGATCAGTACTGTAATAGTTTGATTACCTTCAGAGCTGCTACATGTTTTCTTGACTCTAGGGACGGCAGTGTCGGTGGGTCAGTTCGTCACCTTGGTCTCGACTGAAATATCTGAACAAATGCTGGATCGATTGCCATGACATTTGGTACAGACATTCATAGTCTCCAGAGGATGAATTATGATGGCATTGGTGATACCTTGACCTTTACCTTTTCCTCCAGCTCCTTCATCAGGTCAACGTTTTTCTTTGTCCATTACTTTAGTTTTCAACCAAATACAAAAACGGAAAGGACAAGGATGCCAAGTTCCGCCTGATTCTCACTGAGAGCAGGATCCACAGGCTGGCCCGCTACTACAAGACCAAGAGAGTACTGGCCCCCAACTGGAGGTATGAGTCCTCTACAGCTTCTGCTCTGCTGTTATAATCGCTACACTCTTTTGGATTAATAAAAAGATTTAAATTGAAAAAAGAAAATAATAATAAATAATATCCCTCACTACACTGCTATATTGAATGTAATGCATTGGCTAAAAAATAAACAAAATGCACAATAAACACAGGTAAAGATGAATTTTCAAGTTTTCTATAGATGAATTATTTTGGCCATGATAATCACGTAGTGATTACAGCCCTACTCTGACGTCAGCCGCGGGGCATTAGGGCATACATGTAGCTGGGAACAATTACAAATCAAAGCTTGTTTCACATTTCTACACCAAACTTGCACCTCATGAAAATGGTGAAGCGGTCATTCAAACCACAAATTGCTATAGCAAAGAAACTAAGAGAGGTCTGGCAGTGTCAGTGACGATCTGACGGCAATCCACACCCACAATTTCAACAGTTGCCTCCAGACGTGTATTCCTGTGACAAAATGATAGATTCACAACAACTAGATTTTACAGGCGCGGTGACTCAGAATTGATTTATATTTATTGGGATTTTCCGTTCCCTCCAAAGGACTCAATAAAAACCTACTGCATGGTTGGAATATGCACCAAACAACACTTCATCATAGGAAATAAGCAGTCAGGAGGAGACGCGTTCGGCATTTGTCACACAGAGTGACTCATTTACCCATATGACTTTTTTCCTCATTGCTCAGACGACCAGAAAGTCTCCTTTTCACCATTTTGCTAATAAAAGTGCCTTTTTGGTATAATGAGAGTTGTGTGTACTTCACCACAGTATCCCTTTCAGTGTAGTTCTCATGCTGGATGAAAGTGTCAGCTCATGCTTAAGATTTAATTTTACAGCTAACTGCCTCTGACGTTTTCCTGTGAATCTCAAACTAATTCCACTGAACATTTAAGGACTTCATGGAGGCTGGAAATGCACATATTTCCACCGACGTCTCTATTTGATGATGTCCTTTCCTCTGACTTGTAACCACTAGATCTTCTGATTGAGCATTCTTGATGAATACATTTTCTCTTACACCAGCCCCGTCAACCTTTCAAAAAGTCATTGAAATTTCTTTTGAAAACCCACAATTTCTCCCATGACACAATAATAATAAAATATAATTATCTTAAAATATAAATGCTGAACATTTTCGTGATTTTGGAAACACGTGTTGTACACTGTCCTAGTGCTTACACCACGTAAATGTTCATAAAACAGATCCCTGAGTGGAATTTTACCACTGATACATGCCACTTTGTGTGAAGAAATGTTAACCTATTGCATTTAAAACTAAAAAGATTGCTTTGGAGTTCAGAGTGGGGTCCCTTCTTTCTGCGTTATAACCCTTTGTCTGCAGTTTGAGGGAAACTTCCTGGTGTCACCAGTTAATAATGAGTACAATGTGAATGCAACATTACTTCTGATCTCTGTGAGGTTCTCATTTGGGGGGGGGGGGGGAGGTTCATCTCAGGTTAATCTCCCCTGAACTGGGATACAATTAATATTTTCAATTTACGGGAATATGATTTATGGGCCCTCACTATCATTTTGGTTGCAAATGTGCAACATGTAGTCTCCAGCTTTTATTATGGAAAAACCACATCTGTTTGAAGACACGTGCTTTCAATTTGCTTTGTATGCCTCATTTTCCTAAATGTTGCCTTTCTTGTGGCAGTTACTTGTCTGTTAAAGAAAGTTCTCTCTGACAGTGATCTCTGATGAAGGTCATGGTGGTTATTGGGTGTTATATTGGGGAGCTCTGGAAGCCATTGGCTTATTTCAGAGGTCTTAGGTAAATTTCTCAAGCTTTGAGGTTTGGCACAAAAGGAGAGGGAACAAATGGGATAAAACAGCCAAATCACCACCGAGACAGAGAACAGCTGGCCTGGATGGATGGGGCTGATTAGAAATTTTAAAGGATCTTTAGATGTGGTGACAGTGTAGTCTCGAATCGCCTCCCCTCCTGTGTACCAGTGTTTGCCATTTCTGGCCACACTCAAGGGTTTAAATAGCCACAGATGCTGGCCCGACTTCCATTGTGGATGGAAACAGGCGAAACCGAGCTCTTCTCATTATTTAAACCACCTCTCCAGTCTGTTCACCATCAATTTAAATAATTGCAAACACATTTCTTAAATTCATCAATGGTTTATGAGGCAATACAAGAAGCAGTTTTTCAGTTAACTCGAACAGACATTTGCCCTGATTGTCCTTTTTGCAAACAGGAAACTGGACTGGAAGTGATAAGACACTTGTAAGATGATACTGTGAGCATGATGTCACAAGAAGGGATAACAAGAACACTATTATGATTCCTAAAATTAAAAATTGTGAGAAATTGTTTGTTGCTGACAAAAGTTGCTGAATTTTTGTTTTGAATGGTCATCATACATCCTAAAAACCATGCACCCGATCACTAAGCATTGGAGTTGAGCACAAGACTGCTATGTGTTGTGATGTGCTGTATCATTAGTGAAACAATGAGTTGTCTGAGAGAGTGCTATACAGTATGCAATCAACACTTTGTTCTCTTGGTTTTCTGATGTTCAGATGAAATACTGACATTTTACTACAAATGCAAAATGACTGTTGGAGGCCAGTAACTGCAAATTACATAAGCACAAAGCAGGACACGCTGATTCGTGGGTCTTGACATGCTTTAAAAGCTTTACAAAAGATACAGCTTCTACTAAAATTGTGCTTATATATCCTAAAGACACACAGAATATCTCATCACGGTCAACAAGCATTCATATTAAATTTTTTGTTTGAGAAAAGTAATGTGTTGATTGTTTACTGCCCTCACCAGGAGGTCAGACCATCAGGACGCTCTGCTTCTATACATTTTTTTATTTTGAAATCACCAATCTACTTCTAATCTAGAGGAAGTTATTTCCTGAGGGTCTGTGGTGTTTGTCTCCATCTGTAGGAGGACGGAAATACGTGCAGGATGAAGCGTGATGGTATAGATAGAGACAAATAAACCCACAGCTACAACATGCGGGAGTTAAATGTTGCTCAGCATGCACTGCTCTGGGAATATTTTGGTCTTTTTTTACATACGAATTAACAACAATTTATTGATTTTACTTATTTCAATAACTATTTTAATCCGTGACATACTTCTGTGTAAATCGAACAGCGCTGTCATCATTAACATTCAAAGAAGAAGATTGTATCTATGTTAGATTATCATTATTTTGCTTGAAACGATTTTAATTTTGCAAGGCGGAACTCTTCTGTTGAGATTGGTGGGGAAGGATTTTCTTATCGGACTCGGTTGTTGCTTACATTTTTTGAACAGGAACTACCCTGGTGAGTGTTTTCTTCGTTAAATTAAGCGATGGGGTACCATTGTCTGACTTTATCAATAGCTAAGTAAATACAATTCACATTCAATGACCATTTGTCGTGTAACAGTGTGAGACAATAAAAGACGAGCTGTGGAAGCATTGTGATTTAAAGGCCTGGACAGCTAACGTTAGCCGTGCTGCGCTAACGTCATTCAACAACATTACGTTAAACAGCGAGCTAGCTGTGAGGCTAATGACTAGAAGACATCAACTTCCTCAACGTTGACAGGCAGTTATTTATGTCTTCGTCATGTCTTTGTTCCTGTTTGTCTGTTATTCAACGTAGTAATTGTCCACGGACGTCTGATCAACCTCCACAGGCGTTGTTTGCTTAAAGTCACGAGAATGCTATGCAAGCTAGCACTAACACTAAGTTAGTTAAGTGTATAAGCTAATGCTAATCTAATATTACGTCATTTCACATCGAACCACACAGTGGGCCCAAATAACAGCTGCTGTTATGAATAAATACTCTTGACCACGATTGAAATAATAGGATACAAAGGTGTATGATGATTACAGTCTTCACATAAACACAGCTAAGGCTGGGGTTAAGATATCTAGATAGCTTCCAGATATCTCTGGATAGATGGAAGGATAAACCAGTGGCATGTCAAATCTTGCACTGCAGCATTTAAATGTTCAATCTGTTCAGCTCCCAGTCCTCACCACAGTCCCTCCTCAGAATGTTTATTCATTATATTTAACACTTCCCTTGCTACATGCAGGAGACCAAGAGACTTTGAATATAATTACGCGTCTGTAAGTAGAGGGGCTGGGAAGGCTTTAAAGATGTGATGTAAACTGAGAGGTAATACAGTGGTAGCGCTCCCTTTTTACATCTCTGATTGCATTTTCAGACCATAGTTTGCTTTGTGGAAAATCAGTGAGCAGGACTACTTCAACTTGAATTTTTAAATGTTATACTTCAATGTGACTATTTCATTTAGTTGATCAAACTAAAGCAGACATGACCATCTTGTTATTGCGGTCTTACCTAGAATATAATATTTACCATAATATGATATTTACTAACTAATGAGAAATGTGTCCGTACCACTTGAATAATGAAAACTGTTCTGATCAGACTATATTTTATTTTGGTAAAGTCCTTATGTTAACTCTTATCCATCCTCTTCCCCAATCAAAGGTATAAAAAAAACATTGTATCAGTATTAAAATATGATATCAACACTGGTTAGTAATAATGATACCTATCCCCAGCAAGCCATAGTACATGATACAACCCTGTAATTGAATCATAAATTAAATATGAATTTTAAAAAGTCTCTAACATCCTTTCTTCCTTCATCAGCAGGTGGAGGGATGAGTCTCTCCCCTGTGATTGGCACAGAAGTGCCAGAAACAGCTAACGGGGTTGTGCCACCCGTCTCTTCAGAGAACGGCCCTTACGCTCCGGTCTCAGTGAAATGTGGGGGGAGCAGAGTGCCCTGTCCTGGGGAGGCATCGAAGGATAGAGCCCTTGGACACACAGAGAACCACGTAGATGCAGAAAACAGAGTTTACGATGGCGACGGCCACTTGGACACAAAGGCGTACAATAATGGGAGAACATCTACTAGGTTGTCGCTGCACACCTCTCGTGTGACAGACGCCTCACTCCCCGCAGCCTCCTGCACGGGAGACTCTGAAGAGTGGGAATCAGGCTTCAAAGACATTCACGAGGCCTCTAACAATGTTGAGCCTCCTGATGCAGCTCTGTTGTGGGACCCAGCGCAGCAAGCACACTCCAAAAAGTCATCTCAGCGAGGAGGCCCTGCCGCTACAGGCAGACAGCAGATGGAGACAGAGACTTTAGATGGAGACACTGACAGTCGAGACGAGGAGGAAGATGGAGAGAAGGAGAAACAGGATGAGGAGGACGATGAGAAAAATGAAAAAAAGTGGATTAATCAGCGTGCAGGAGGGAGAACAGAGGTGGCGGTGAGTGGGCTGTAGGATTATATTCATCTTTATTTGATTATATGTGATTACGCTTTTAAATAGACTCAACGCTGAGACTTCAGTGTGCTTCAAATGAACTACAACACATTGACCATCTACCTCTCGCGACCAAGTTGGTCAAACTTTTTCCAAATGGCCAAATTTGAATGTGAGACGAAAAGTTAATCAATTAGAAGAGAGGGCCAATGAACAGGAAGACAAGTGTGTAGCTCCTGGGCTGGTTTCACAATGATTTTTGCCAGCATGATTTGATAAGCAGTGATTTAACTTCTCTTATTCACTTCCTCTTTTCTCCATTCTCTGTTCACTGCCTCACCCTTTTTTTTAAAAAATTTTTTTAGTCTTCACGACACTACTCCTCCTCAGCCCCCGGTCCCAGCACCTCGTCCTCTTCCTCTCTTCCACCTCCTCTTCTTCCCTCAGACGATATCCCCTGCCCTCCCCACGTCATGGCCCAGGTCTGGGTACGCAACGTCCGGGGGATGCAGGACAGCAAGAGCCTGGATGAAATCAGCCAAGCTTGTGGAGGTAGATATCCGTCCAACAGGTTTGATTTTATGTCAACTGCAGTTCGGCTTGTTCCCGATCTCTTCACTTGTATGTACGCAAAAAACTCTTTTAGCTACGCAATAACTGAGCAGAAATACAGTGGAAACTGTGACGACATTGAGTAGGGCTTCCATCTCTTGATAAGTCAGTAATTACTGGGAATACTTTACAACTTTGTTCAGCTGATTTTGGTGTATTCTCCACAGGTGGTTTGGGGGCCCGGGTAGGGGGCAGAGGGGGCCAGTCAGAGGGCCGGAGGGCCACAATCTCCTCAGCTCTGGAGCTAGATGGGACAGTCAGCCAGGAGGGTGACCTGACTCACTTCATCACCAAGAACCTGGAGCAGAAAATCAAAATGAGCTCCAAGCCCAGTCTGGACTGCAGTGACTGTGAGTATGGACCCCAAGCAACCTTCACCAGATTATTTTTCCTAATTATTGTAATTCATAACCCAATTAGGAGAATTACACTCCAAGGAGCAGTATAAAACATTCAGAGTATTAATAGAGCAGCAAACCACTATAATCAATGTAAATATATAGTGGAGTAATGTCCACCTGGACAGACAATCTGAGCTTCTCCTTGATTTGTTGACATGGGCAGGCCGCGTGCTCTTAGTGTATGTTCATGCATGTGTGTGTGCGCACCACTGGCTAGCTCACGCCCGCCGCGCTCACTGCTCTCATACGGCTGATTTGTAAGCATCAGAGAACGTGTGACTATATTTCATATACAGTATGTCTGTGTTTATCTATCGGTGTGCTTTATGGTTGTGTTGCATTTGACTCGCAGAAGAAACGTGTGCAGACAGTATATGTTCACATGTAGAGGCAACCCAGTGGCCCGAAAATATGTTTGCATCATATGCTTCTGGGAGATACATTGAATATTGATGTTTCATAAATACGTTTCGTCATCAGTCTTGTATGAGATGGACCTTTCTCGAAAGTCCTGTGTTTATTTGACCCATCCACCACCCCTCCCCCACTACCTTGTTACACTTGTTTTTATATCTAGCTTTCAATCGTCACTTGCTCCGCCCGAATTCAGTGTATTTCTTGGTTCGAGTCCAATGCCGACAGTTTTTCCTGCTGACTGAGCTGATGGAGGATGTGCGTAGTGCAGGTTACTTTTATAACTGCGACGTGTTTGAGGGTCAGGAGGCCCTAATGGAGGATGTGTTTGTGTTTGACTCTGCACAGGGAGGTGTCAGAAATTACATTTCAGCAGGTTAATAGCATTTTTACGAGCAGCGGTGCTGGTGCTGACTTGAAGTCAGATTCACTGCCAGCTTTTCCCCCGCAGAGGCTAACAGGCCCAGTCAGCCCCGACTCATCATTTATGCATAACTTTGGTCATGTCTAAACCATAATAAGTAATGGAGAATCGATGCACTATCTTAAGCAAATTAATTGCTATATCTGATGTCTTATGATGGAGGTTTACATGAATCATCTGCCACCCTGCAGCTTTCATGATTCAGCAGCTTTGTTATGTTACCTTGTTCTGGGCAAATTGTTCTTATTTAGTGATTTGAGACTGATATGTCTCATTGTGTAGCAATCCATCCTATTTCTGTTTTTTCATTTAACAGCTGATGTTCTTGATCATACAGTGCAGGGTTTCCCATTAATTAACTAGACTGGCGGGCTTTTTTTTCTTTTTGCTCCAACCGTGGCTCATGGTAGCATGCGGAAGCTCCTAAAACATGACTGCATTTAACATGTGTAACGTGCTACAAGTCAAGTTTAGCATTAAGGCGTCAGTTAATCATCATTATTTAATGTGCGGGCTGATGAAATTCAAGAAAAATGACTGAAAGTGATAAGACTGAGATGTGTTGATTCTATAAAGAGTTCCACTGTGAACTCGTGAAAGCTTTGTTTGAAGAAAAGTGTAGAAAAGTGTTGACATAACAGAAACTGCAGAGGTGCAATACTGTTCTTTACCACAGTCAATATGGGTTCTTGTTCAGAGAGAGAAGTCTGTTGTGAAATGGGGTTTCATGGTGAGAGTGCGAACTTAATGCAACCAATAATTTCAACAGTAGTGAATATAGGACATACAGTATATATGTAAACACCTTTTTGGATATCTGCTCAGTCATCGGCGTAGCAGTTAACAAACCAAAAAGCATCACAATGTTGCAACGTGTTGAATAGCTATCAGACGGGTCATCACGCGCCCTGTTTGTACATCGTGATGGTCATTGTTAAATGCAGCTGGTTGTCCTGTGTAGTGCGGTACAATTGGTTAGAGAAACATTCACCCAATCAGCTTTATCATTTTTCGATTCCTCTCGATGAGATTTTCAGATGAATAGTTCATTTGTGACGGACGCTCTCTTTGCCGTCGCGCTGTCCTTTTTCTAACTTGTAAATCAGCCTCGCCGCGTGTTTTAACGAGCAGCAGAGACTCAACCCTGCACAAATTGAAACGGATAGTTTTCCCAAATGGTCACTCAGAAATTAAATCATCTCTATAACATCAGCAGGTTGACAAAGTCAAGCCTGTCCATTAGCGGCCATCTGTCTTGTCAAATTTTCCAGGAAAAAGAGGCCTGAACCGCTGCCCTTCAGCCAGAGGGGGAAACCCATCTGTGTTCGAGTGTCTGCTGAACTGGCCACTCAATTTAAACACGGGAACACAGTCGATATGCCCTCGGTGGCAGCTCATTCCCTCTACCTGCTGATTCAATTAGGATAGAGGACTCAGACTTCGTTTGGACTGGAGGGATTTATAGCTGAGGTCCTGCTGCAGCCTGACGGGAATCAATTTCAGAGACGGAAACCTGCTCATTTGTTTTACTTCACGACTCAGAGCGTACGTGCTCTTTTAATTATGTGCCGTGATGTGCTGGCAGTCTTTTTGTAAGAGCAGCTGTTCCTTCAAATGAGAATAATTCTTCAGTTGCTCTTGTGTGTAATTTTTGTGATGTTTTGTCTTATTTTTCGCTTGAGAAACGATTTCCTTGAGGTCGTCGTTATTGGCTTGTGCTTGCACACGTGTTGTGCCTGTTTGCATCACTCGCTGCCTTTCTCTGACTGCGTGTGTTTGTCCTGAAAGAAGTCGTAGATTTGGGCTCTTTGTGTTCTGGGAATTTTCACAATTTTCTTTTTTCTTTTCATTGATTATACTATTTATCGAAAAATCAAATGAACACAAACATTAGTTAGAGCCCTACTTGTGTATATTATTCATGAAATTTCATAATTATTTCTTACCAGCGGACTGCTCAGGTCCCATCTTCCGCAGCCGGGGTTTGTCACGGAGACCGGCAGACATCCCGCCCATTGATCCAGCCGTCCTATTGGATCTTCAGAGACACACCCAGGAAGTGGCGCACAGTGTGGAGATGATGATGCGGAGCCTCAATGGAACAATCCAGAATGTGAGTCTGAAACTGTCCGTTCATGATGCATCGTGTGTTCAGCTCCATCGTTCTGTTTCGTCCTCTGGTATCGTCTCTCACACTCACACACTGTATGTTTCTCATATCTGTTTTTCATATTGGTCTCTCTGTCCATGATTCTTCCAGATGACAGCTCTGAGTGTGGGCTACATCCAGACCTACAGAGACTCAGTTGACAGCTTGGGAGAGTCTGTGGATATGAGTATAAAGGTGACACTGTGTTTGTGTGTGTGTGTGTGTGTGTGTGTGTGTGTGTGTGTGTGT